GGCTCAAACAGGCCTCCTCATTATAAGAAACAAATTGTTTAGCATGTCTTACACATACTTGATTTGGTCTGAATTAAATTAAAGCGTAGCATAGGTTGATTTACCACATATTTCCCAGATAGGGAGTCCAAATTAGCCTACTTAGATGTAGTTGTCAAAGACTGACACAGTTGATTAATTACCTAACCGTTTGCCTATGTGTTTAAACGGGACCTATGGCATGATATCTATTAGTTTAGAGACGAAGGCATAAACTGATTGCAGAAAAAAATTATCAGTTACAAAGTCATAAGTTCCACACCTCACCCACCCCTACCCCCGACCTCCCACCCTAAATATATAAAAATATTATTTGGAGTACTTTCTTTTCATGATGGAAAAAGTATTTTCTTTCATTTCAACAGAATAAGTATTTTCTTTTGATGGCATAGAAAAAGTAATTTCTTTCATGTTAACTAAATAAGTACGTTATTTTCATAATGTCGAATGATTTATTTAACTAATTGTTGTTGACAAAAATAATCATCAATCATGAAAAAAAGTCTGAAAATAAAGAAGAAATATATTATCACAACAGAAAAAACAACAAATAAAATTTATATCAATAAATTAAAAGATGGGTACTGAGCTATTTTTTAGGCATCACAATAAAATAAAAGAAAGTACTTATTTATTGAAATGAAAGAAAATACTTTTTCTACAACAAGAAAAGAAAATATTCTTTTTGTTAAAAAAAATACATTTTCTACATCATGAAAAGAAAGCACTTATTTTATTAAAATAAAAGAAAATACTTTTTCTACATTATAAAAGAAAATATTCATTTCGTTGAAATGAAAAAATGAAATACTCTATCTACAAAATTAAAAGAAATACTTTTTTTACAACAGAAAAAAAAATACACATTTTGTGAAAAAAAAATACTTTTTCTACATCATGAAAATAAAGTATTCTTTTTGTTAAAACAAAAGAAAATACTTTGTGTACAACATGAAAAGAATTGCTCATTTTGTCGAAAAAAAAAAATACTTTTTCTAAATCATGCAAAGAAAGTACTTATTTTATTGATATGAAAGAAAACATTTTTTCTACATTATAAAAAAGTATTCATTTTGTTGAAATGAAAAAGAAAATATTCTATCTACAACATTAAAAGAAAGTATTCTAAATAATATTTCTATTTTGGGTAGGGATAGGGTTGAGAGGTAGGGTGGGGGTTGAGGTGGTGGGAGGTGAATTGAAGTGAGTGGAAAGTTCTAATTTTTTCACTTTTTTATATATGATCTTTTTAGTATTATAAGATAAAGAATTATTAAATACATTCTAAATCCAAATCGAGGAAAAAAAAATCATTTGGCAAGAATAAGGATAAAATTAAGATATTTCCTTTAGTATAAGAATATGTTTTACTTTTCCTTCTTTTAAAAATATCGTAAATGGAAAAAACGTCCGGAACAAAAAAACAAAAAAAAAAAAACGAAAAGAAAAGGGGTGGGGGGGGGGGGGGGTATCCAATACTAATAAAAACGTGCTTTTTTACGTGAGGAAAAGACATAAGGCGTTGGCTGCACCTACCATTCAATTGAAAATATCCTCCTATGAAAATAATCACAAAAATAAATCATTTATCTTAGGTCTGGATATTAGAATAATAGCAGACAGTTTTATCAGACCTAATTAATCGCACTTAACAAGAAATTAAAAATTACTAGTACAATGTTGTCTACTAGATCTGTTCTGCTCTGCGCTACTTATCTTTTCGTTATTTATTTACTTTAATTACTTTTAATAGTATGCTGGATTTCTGAAATTAATTCAAAGTATCGTCAAGAAGACTCACGAAAAGGTTCCAATTATAAAAAAGTTAAACTGCTAAAATGAAAAAGAACGCAAAAGCTCACCACACTGTCCTTGATCCTTAACACCAACAAGAACACCTTTCTCTCTCCAATCAACTGACTCCGGCAAGATATCTCCGACCTTAGGAGCATAACGGTCACTTTTGTTCTTAGACAACTTACGTGGACCATCGATCTTAGTACCTAGGTACATGGACCGGTATTCCTCGTTTGTCAGATCAGCGAACCGGGTTAAACCCAGCTTGTAAGTCCAATCGGGCATAGCATTTTGTTCATCGATGTACTTTAAGTTATCCTTAAAGATCTGAAAACGCTTATCTTTTTCATGTAAGGCGTTGTAGGACTTGCCGTGCTGGACTAGCCACGACTCGTACAAAGCCAACACTTCAGCATCAGTACGCCAGTTTGTTGACTGGCTGTTCATGTGATGGTTTTCATCGTAGGTTAGGATGGACATGTCCGCCACTGACGATGATAAGGCGGCGGACAGGAAGAGGAGCAGGACAAGTATGGAGGAACGGTAAGCCATGTTTGGTTGTTTTTCCAGTTTAGTGGGGAAGGTGAAGAATGAGGTGAGGAAAGTGGCGAAGGAATAGTGTTACATATAATACTACTAGACACAAAATGGAAAAGGGATATTTTTGTCAAATAGTTACTTTGTTCTTTTTTTTTTTTAAGACTATTTCAAAATAAATGATATATTTTTAAATTTAGAAATAATTTAACTTTAAACTCTTTATTTATCTATTGTACAATGAAAAGTTTTCATAGTCACACAAATATCATTGCCCCACAAAACTTTTAGCCTAGCTCTTAAGACCACAAGTTTTAAAAGTTTTCTTCTTTTTTTTTTAAATTTTATGCCGATTCAAACTACCTCGTCTAAATTAAAATGGAAGGAGTACTAACGTATCTTGGTTTATACGGGCAAGAAAGAGATAAAAAAATGATCTTCTACTTTTACTTACAGTTTGAATAAACGAACAAAAACATATTCTTATAAGATTTTTGAGTTATTTTATAGATTTGTGTTGTTATTATAAAGTTCTTTTTTGTATATACACTTTTTGAATTATTTATTTATTTTTATTAAAAGGCAGCTTGGTGCATTAAGCTTTCGCTATCGTGAGGTTCGGGATCCGGGAAAGGATCGAACCACAAAGATTTATTGTACGTAGTCTTACCCTACATCTCTGCAAGAGGTTGTTTCCACGACTCGAACCAGTAATCTCCAGATCACATGGCAGCAACTTTCCCGATTATGCCAAAGCTCTTATTTTATTTTATTAAAAATTTTGTCATTAAAATAATATTTATAATTATCAATAAAATCAATCTCACAGATAAATGATGAAATACGTATGTTAATTAGCATATGGGAGGAAGCTGGGAAATGAGTGACCTTAAAAGGATGAGATAGGTTAAAGAGACTACTACAGAAAAGCAACAGCACGCGGATCAGATGCGATTGGTGGCTCATAAGTCATAACGAGTGTCAGATTAGCTACTTTTCCATTCCATTTTAGGTGATCGTATTATAGCCCGTTTGGCCAAGCTGTAAAAATCAGCTTATTTTGAAAAGTGTTTTTTTTCAAGAGTGCTTTTCTCAAAAGTACTTTTGGTGAGAAGCAGTTTGTGTTTGACTAATTAGTTTGAAAAGCACTTCTGAGCAGCAATTAGTGTTTGGCCAAGCTTTAAAAAACTGCTTCTAAGTGTATTTTTCTCAAAAGTGCTTCTCAAAAAAGTGCTTTTGGAGAGAAGCTACTTTTTTCTGCTTCTCTAAAACTGCTTCTGCTTCTCCTCAAAAGCACTTTTTTCCTTCCAAAAGCTTGGCCAAACACCTCAATTTTTGGCCAAAAATGCTTTTGACCAAAAAAAAGCACTTTTGGCAAAAAGAAGCTTGGCCAAACAGGCTATTAATTGAAGTACTCGGTTTGAAAAGAAAAACAGTACTCACTTTAATATTTATATTTATATTTTATATCTATATTATATTTAAAAAAAAAAGTAGTATGCATTGTGGTTAATGAAAATGACATGCTAAAACGAAGCTACTTAGCAATTTTGGAACAATATTAATAATTAGGAATTATAAATGGAACATAATTAATGAAAATAGTTGATTGAAATAGATCTTAGAAATAATCTAAATAGATCTTAGACAAATCTAATCTATATATGTATATTTACATCTATATCTATCTATATATTGATCCATTGATCGATTTTCTTCAATATTAGCTAGAAATATGGAGGTAAAGAATCAATTAAAACTATAATAGAAAAAAAAATATAGAAAGACGTAAATTGAGATAACATATGACTATTTATACTTTGAAGTAAGTTAAAATATAAAATAAAACTAAAATTTACTTAAGATATTAAAAATTTAATGACTTTAAATATTAAAAAAATTCAAGCACCAAAATAAGATCTTATATAAAATAAATCAATTATTTATAAGGTAAGGGAAAAAAATTAAATAATCATTAAAATATTTAATAACAAGAATAATAAAGTCATATTAATGTTGACAAATCGGGCAAACGAATATTTTGTACATAAATAAATAAATCTTATACAATTTAAAATGTTAAACTTAATAAGAACAAATCTTAACTACTCGGATGAATGGCAAATGAATAACTAAATATCTCTCTCTCTAACTACCCCTATATATATATATATATATATATATATATATATATATATATATATATATATATATATATATATATATAACTATCCAAAATCACGTGAACGACACCCGACACACTACCTGACCCGCGCGAACGAAACCGTATGATGCACCAAAATGCATATCCATATGCATGAAAATTAATTTAACTGCGGAAGCTATTTGAATATCATATACATTTTTAAGTTGAATGACAAAATATTTTTCCAATTCAAAATCATACATGACGCCTTTCATGATATTAATGGGATCAAATGCGACAAATATCTTTTTATATATGTTGTGTATCATCCCGTTATTACAACTCATCAAAACTATGGAGCCTCTATACCAAGAATAGAACTTAATACTTGGGCCAATGCCCGACTAACATAAAACAAAAGGACAACATGATATCTACCACGAAATAGGAATAGTGCCTCACCATATACTTTGGGAAGAGAGCCATCCTAGCCATGTCTGCATGCCACGTATCATATCCCTCATTCTAAAACAAGTAAAATAAGAGGAGCCCTGATGAGAGGCCTCTGAGGGCTGAGTACACCACCACGGTACTCAATAAATGTCATAGACTCTTCTAACTCAAGTTCCTGGGATAAGATTTTGCAAAAACTATACAACCAATATTTGATATAAAGTGATAAACAATTATATAAATCATGCTATTTATCATTTCAAATGAAAAGACAAGTGAAGTATAAACCATGATCCAAATTCTTAGAACATTTATATCAATCTAAGATTTTTAATAAAATCATACAAAACCATTTCACTTTCATTAAGTCATCGAAATCACATTCGGCTCCTTAGACCTAAACATAAGAAAGTCTTCTTTATCTTTCACCGGGAGTACTATACTGACACCGATATAATAAACAACTACTAGGTGATCGACCTAGCAACAAATATTTGACCCTACTTGTTTGGGCGGCTTCCCGTAGTGCCGTACGAGTTGACTTAACCTCATTACTTTAAGTAGTGATCATATGTCCTCTTAATGGGGGACTTTATCCCACAAACCTCGACCTAGCCTTAGAATGTGTCCCTATACCGGCACGTGTAGTTTCATGGTAATGAACTTAATATTCGAACCAATCTCGATTGTCTCAACAAGTAACTCCCAAAACATTTGAATATCAAAAATAGATTCATAGCCTAATAGCCTCAAATGATCTATTTTATCAAATCATGATTTTCATAGCCAATCCAAACCATTTGAACAGAATCAAATGAATAACCTTTTTCATGTTAATGCCTTTAGCAATTTAACATCAATCTTTTAAAGATACAACAAGTGCTGCTCAATTGTTCAAATTTCAAAACACATACTTTTTCATGAAAGGTATCTTTATCACTCAAACAGTTTATACTCTTATTAACACATAAGTTTTAATAAAACATATAACGTTTTTCTTAAGTGTCATACGGCAAACAAGTTCCGAAAATAAGATTTTTATATAAAATCACATGACACTTCAAAATCAACAAACTTAGAAACACATTGTGACATACTTCCCACTTGTCCCCACAAGTACGGATGCACATTTATAAATAATATCACGTATTAACTCAAAACATGCTTTTAGAGAGATTCCCTCAAGATGAGTAAGTCATAATCAACTTGCCTAAATCGCCAAGCTCCAAATAATACTACACCGCTTCAATCGATTAAAATGCTCAAATATCGCACACAATTCAATATCTACCATTAGATATCCCAAGTACATCAAAACAGACACGAAAAGATTCATAAATATCTATTTAGGCTTCATAATTCGGCAACAAGCCTTAAACCATTCCAAATTATCCAATACTTCCACCAATTAGCCTATTCAATTCCATTCTTATCATTAAATACTCATTTGAAGTCATTAATAATACTAAATTATTTACTCGACATCACCAAATCACTATTCATTATCTTGTTATCACGACCCCAATTTTCCTCCGTAGAATGGCGTGATGGAAAGCCTAACATGCATAGAGAAATAGCGCAAATACTAATAAAACTTCAAATAAAAACCTTCATACTATAATAATAAACTCAACAGTACAATAGCTAACACTCTCCCCAAAACCTGGTGGAATTAAATCATAAGCTCTACAAGATGGTAGTACAAGTATCGAACTACAATATTGTTTGAAACAAGAATAAAACAATGGAATGTCTAAAATAGAAGGGGACTCTGAGGTCTGGGGATGTGGAGCAGGTATACCTTGAAGTCTATAAAATCAATAACTCAAATCAACTCTAGAGTCCGACATGGGCAGATGTAACTGGATCCGCACAAAAAGATATGCAGAAACGTAGTATGAGTACACCACAATGGTACCCAATAAGTATCAAGCCTAACCTCCATAGAGCAGTGATGAGGCCAGGTCAAGACACCTACTAGGATATAATAAACAGAATGAAAACGTAATAACAAGAAGTAACGCAAAATGGGGTAATAAGTAATATGAAGCAAGTTAATAACAGAGACTAACGAAAGGATTGTAAGCATAGAGATAGAATAAGGGAAGCAATTGAAAAGAATCACAATGTTCATATACGGAAAATAAGTGATAGAACAATGAAAAACAAAATGACAAGAAGTATTCCCACCAAATAACTCTTTCCAACATGAGATAAACAATAAGAATCACAACGAGGTACCGCCTCGTGTACAATAAGAAACACAACCGAGATACCGCCTCGTATATATATCAAAATTACAGTCGAGGTACCGCCTCGTATTCACAATCTCAATCACAATCTTTTCTTATATCACCGCATGAGCCTTACATTTAAATAGTTTTGAAAATATTTTTTTCAAAATAGCTACACGCACTTTAGCCCACATTATGATGCCCCGTGGCTTCACAAAATTCCTCGTAAAAGCAACATGCACATAAGTCTCACCTTATGCCGCTGCATGCACATTAACCCCTATCCTTATAC